TATGGACATCTTAGGACCATTAACAGTCACAAAAGACAAACATAAGTACCTTCTTGTCATTGTGGATTCCTTCTCAGGATGGTGTGAAAGTTTTCCCTTGAAATCTCAAGAAGCATCTGTTATTGCAAAAGTTTTATATGAACAAATCATTTGTCGCTATGGAGCTCCTGATGTTATTGTTAGTGATCGAGGTAGCAACTTCCTTTCAAATTTAGTTGCCTCCTTGTGTGAACTATTTCAAATTACACGTCACCATACATCATCTTACCATCCCCAATCAAATAGCACTGTAGAACGGGTGAATGCTTCTATTGGTCAAGCCTTAAGATCATTTTGTAATAACTGTCAAGATGACTGGGATCAATACATACCCTCTATCATGATGGCTTTTAGAAATGCTGTTTCGTCCACTACAAATTTTACTCCTTTCTATGTCCTGTTTGGTAGAGAAATGCGAACTCCTTTAGATACTGCTTTAACCCCGAAGTCAACATTACCAAATTCAGTCAAAGAATATATAAATGATCTTGTCGCAAAACTGAAATTGACTAACATGCTTGTTTCAGCAAATCGTATAGGAGAACAAGCTCGGCAAAAAGAAAGATATGATACAACAGCCAAAATACCAAATTTTGCTGTTGGAAACAAGGTTTATGTACGAAATGAGACTGTCACCAAAGGCCTCTCTAAAAAGCTTTCTCCAAAATATAACGGCCCATTTGAAATTGTAGACCTTGGTCCTAATTACACCTACCAACTGAAAAGGTTATCAGATGGAAAAGTCCTAAGCAGCCTTTTCAATGCAGCAAGGTTGAAACTATGGCATGAGAGAAATGTGCAAAACTCTCAGCAGCCTAACTTGGGCCCACATCCCATAAGCAATGACTCAGCAGCAGAAGTCTCTAATAATAATACAGGCAGTCCTGTGACTTTTCAAACTCAGCAGTCCCATGTCAGTAACAAAGTTGTCGAGAAAATTGTGTACATGCAATGTAGAGGTCAAACAAGATGGTACAGGGTCAAATGGGTTGACCATCCTATGAATCAATGCTCTTGGGTCACCAGTGATCTCGTACCACAAGATCTACTGAATAAGTATCATGAAAAGTTTAATTTTAGAGGTCGCAAAAGAAAAAGAAATCTTAGACCCTTGATACAAAAATGAATATTTGTATTCAGTACCTACATATTAAGTATTTAACACTTTATTCTATATAACCAACTTTCTCAATCTTAAATACAGTTACTTTCAACAAAATTCTGGTCCTTCTTGTTCCACCCCAAAATGTTGACATAAAATGGTTAAACTACTGTAGAAATGTGGCTTTTCTTGAATAAGCAGGTTACACTTTAGAATTGTAAAATAATTTATAAGTAATGGGCAGGTCTCATGAAACAAGTGCTAACAGGTAATTACCAACTTTACAATTCCTATAACTCTACCCTTCTTATTCACAGAACCCTTCTTTTTCTACTTCCAGGAGTATTCCTGTTTCTACTCTTGGTAGTAGTTATACCTACTTTGTCTGGGGAAAGATTGGAACAAAGACTTAATTATGGAACCATATTTAAGAATGAAGGAAAACTCAAGTTTGCGGATGATAACTGGAAACATACCTTTGCCATGAAGCTTCACTTTCCAGATGAATCATTTCTGAATCACTTTCCTACATGCGATTGTCCAGATCTAAAACAAACTTGGGCTAGTATGTCCCAGTTACATAATGACACTTTGTTGCAAATTAACAAGTCCTTACATCATATCAATGTTCTATTACCAAATGCTGAAACACATTTTAGTTCAAATCGAAAGAAACGTTCATTGCTACCTATAATTGGAACAATTAGCAAGGGCTTATTTGGACTGGCAACTACAAGTGATGTTCAAAATGTTGCAAACCATGTTAATGCTTTAATTCGAAGAAGCAAAGCTCTTTCCTCTAGTTTTATTAATGATAATAAACTTCTTTCATCTTTTATCAAACATACGGATAGCAGAATTTCTAATTTATTTACATCTGTAAGGGAAAACCATGAGTATCTGACAAAACTCACAGTTGAAATAACAACCTCCGCAAAGACTTACCAACGACAACAAATGCTTATAATACAAACCCTCACAAAGACTCTCCGATATGACAATTATTTAAGAAAAGCATATTCTGACATGCTTGAAGGTGTTACTTCACTAGTCCAAGGGACATTTTCAGAAAAAATAATCCCCTACAATGTACTTTTAGCAACTATTCAAAATATAACTTCTGCAGTCAATCCAAAAGGTTACTCATTATTTTCATCTGACCCTTTGTTTTATTATGCGAATGCCAAAGTTCACGTATTTCGGCATGATCAATCTATTTTTATAACAGTTAAATTCCCCTTATCTCATTCTAATTTATTGATGAATTTCTACAAAGTGTTTTCTTATCCAGTACCAATCAATAACTCGTCACCTCATAGTTCTACAGTCCTCAACCTACCTGATCACTTGGTGGTAACAAATGACATGAAATATTACACAGAGTTAAATTCTATCAGTCTAGCAACATGTAAATCTTTTGGAACTATGACATTATGTCCTTTTATGCTACCACTTAAGCATTTAGGGAACCCTTCATGTTCCGTCAGCTTACTCATTGGAAACACATCTAATATAAATAAATTTTGTGATTTTGGGTTTTTCCCAAATAAAATATCACCACAAATTCAACAATTAAACCAAACCCATTTTCTTGTATATAACACCTCTGAATTAACCCTTTCTTGTATGGGTGTAAAGCAAATTATTTCAGGATGCCATTTTTGCTTAATTACTGTTCCCTGCAACTGTACCATAAATACAACAACAACTTTCATACCGCATAGAGCCTTAAATTGCCACCATCATTCAACACCAATCACCCAACTTCACCCAGTTAATTTAGCCCTTCTGCAGCAATACTTTAGTAATGAAATTCTTCAGTCAATCCAAGCACACACTAGCTATCCATCACCTTTAAATATATCAGTGCCTGATTTTAACATTTTTGAACACAATTACTCTCAAATAATTGCAACTGAAAAATATGAACACCTCAGTTTAAAAAAAATGGCAGAGCAAGCAAAACAAAATAAACTTGTTTATACATCATTAGCAGATCCTTTACTGGCTATGAAGGTAGAATCTGACTCCTCCTTTCCTTGGGTTACTGTGTTAGCTATTGTCTCTACAGTACTCACCATCGGCTGTAGTATTGTGGTCATGTTTTTATTTCAAAGGTACAGACATATAAACAGACTTCTATTAGGGTCAACTATCATAGCACAAGCCAAAGCTTTTACACATGACCTACCAAGTTTTAAATTTACTACGACAACTATGCCATCGTCTGTTTCTGACTCTGAGAACTTTACCTTAAATATTGGAACAATTTCAGACTCTCATGTGTTTGCTGTAATATTATTCGCAGTTATCTTCATAGCGTATAAACTGTTTCGTTCTTGCTACCAATCAACACAAGCAAGTACTCTTATACTTGAAGTTACAAATGGTGCATCATCCATTCAAATCCCATGCTTAAAGTTACCTAAATGTGTCCAACATCTAGATTTCAATGCTTCTGATTATGTTAAAAACATTGTAATCTCCAAGAGCACTTTCCCAAAATTATCAATTGACTTTGGTGATTTTAGTATCTATAACCGCATCACAAAACAAAATGTTGAATTACTAACTACACACTCACTCAATCCATTTCAAGCTTACAAACTGAGATCAATCACAGATAAACCATTTCACATGGCATTATGGGTTAAACATAATCACACATGTATGCCAATACATCCTACATGCACAACATTACAAACAACACCATCTTCGAACATTTATCCCTGTTTAGACCCTTCAGCAAAACTTCTACAGAATCCATAATCCTTAATATAACGAAACTTCTAAAGCAAACTCTTTAAAATAATATATAAAACAAGACATCAATAAAGCAATTTGCTTCCTACAATCTTTAAGACTATCAAATGATTAAATAGATCAACATTATTTTAAGCGTTTAATTATTTTTGCAATATAAGAAATAATATTCATTTTATTTTATATAAATATTTTTGCAGTATTGTTTAATAACTAGTATTGTCTATTGTAAGAGGTTCAAAGGGTCAATCCCACTTTTCAACAAAGTGCCTACCACTACCACTTCCACTACCATTATTATTGAGATTCAATATTGTATACAGAAGACAATCAGTGACATTTTAAAGTACTTATCAGTACTTATATTTTCAGTACTACTCAGTACTTGTGACATTTTTCAGTACTACAAAGTACTTATGACGTTTTCCAGTACTACTCAGTACATGTGATATTTTTAAGTATTTGTGATATTCATGATATTTTTCCAGTACTACTCAGTACTTGATTATTTATATTATCCTTTTCAGTACAACTCAGTACTTGTGATTATTATATTCATCATATATTTTTCAGTACTACTCAGTACTTGTAAATGTTTTTCATTATTCTTTGCCTGTACTACTTAGTACATGTGTTTTATTAAAAGTACATTTCTAAACATTATGGTACTACTCAGTACATATGTTAAGTTATATTTTCAAGTACTTTTCAGTGCACTCATTTTAGTTTATTTCATGTTTATTTCTTACGTACTTCTGAGTACCAATTTGTAAGAAAATTATTAAAACATGTTATTTACTATGTGTACATTTAATACAATTTAAATTTGAACACATATATTATTTTTATGCCAATTGTACATACAATTTGTATTATAGAAAGAATTTTTTGTAATTATGTTTTTCAATGTATCTTTTATCAAGTTCCATGACGGAGCATGGCTTTTCCGGAGCCAGGGGAAGTTGTCACAAAGATATTTTATCAAACAAAGAGATTATATATTTTACTAATCTGTCCAGTAATCATGTTAGTGTACCTGTTGTTACAGGAAAACTTTTATCAATAGTTTTTCAACATATTATTTTGTATTTGTGTCTTATGGACAAATAAATCTTAATTCTCTATAAGACAGTAATATTACATTTATAATTCTATTTATCACCATGTCTTCATTTCTGTTTGTTGTTAAGGTGAAATGCTTGACTACAAATTCATATAAAAGGCCAGTGTGTTGTTACACAGTACCATTCTGTTGACAACATTAAATACTGGAAATTTATATTACTTTTCTTCTTCATTTTCAAGGTAAGCATTTCATATGTTTATTATTGTCAATTTTTTCTGTAACTTTGTACAATGATTTTTAATAATTCTTAAGCAATTCCTCAAAAAGTTATTTTTATCAATTAATTTGTTGACAACTTCTCACTGAGCGATTTTCATGTATTTTCATTATATTTTTATGTTTAATTTAAATGTTTATTTTATATTTTGTATCTTATCACTTCTTTCTAATATTTGTCAATTGTATTATTATGTTTCAATTCATAAAGTGTAATGTTCTTTTAGTTCCTTTCATTCTTTTATTCACATACATTTTGTTCTTACAATTATTCATTATTTTTCTCATGTTTGTATTTATCTTTTCATTAGACCATTCTGTTGACAACATTAAATACTGGAAATTTATATTACTTTTCTTCTTCATTTTCAAGATCTATACGACAAAACTGAGATACACAGTTGGTGAATAATTCCCCATAGAAACTTGCCGAAAACCCTCTCACTCATAAAAGAAAACTTCGCTCAAAATCCCGCAGACTCTTAAAAGACAACCTCGCTGAAAACTATAGACTCTAAAGCAAAACTTGCTGAAAACCGTAGACTCTTAAGAAACCTTGCTGAAACTATGTTAAAAAAGAGAAAGAACCTCAAAACAATTGGCAATCTGATTATACTCCAGGCTACAACCGCTCTTACAAATCAGATAGCCGCTTGTTTTGATGCGCTTTCTATCACTAATTAACATACCTTCTACTATCACATCGAGGTGATGAGAGCATAGTGTTACAGCCTCCAACTTGTCGTAATGGCTTCCTCTCTGGTGTTGGTGTCCGTACAATGTCAGCATAACTCTTACCTAAAAGATAATGCGGTATATAGAAATTGTAATAAGATTCAAATGAAATTATAATATAAGGCGAAACATTTTTTCTACATCCGTTGAGTGTTGATGTTCAAAATATGAAATATGGTAAATACTCGGTTATCAAAGCCTTTACTGCCACTGGTATATACGGCAGCATTTCCAGTCATGCAAACTCCTGTATATTTCACACACAAAATACACATTTTCAAATCTGACGAACTGCTTCCATTTTTGAACATCCAGTTATTTCTTGATAATCTCTAATATTTACAAAAGATACTTAGGTCAAAATATAAGGCAATGAACAGTAATTTTTTTTTCTCAATTGAAGATGTGTTAATGAAAATTTCTAACATCTGCATAAAACTGTTATTACAAACCTTTAGTAGGAGTATGGTTATTTTCTATGTTGTCAAATTTTATGCACCGTACAGCCTTGGCCTCCCTGTCACCCTCAGAAACCTCAACATGATTCACTGACTTTGTCACAGTTTCTTGTTGTACAGTATTTGTAACTGTCTTTGTCACTGTACCAGAATTTATTTTCACACATTTCTTCTCCACAGATTCCATATGTTTCATTTCTAAAGAGTCTCTTTTATGCTTTGTACAAATAGTTTGTTCATGTAAATTACTGTCTTCAGAAGAAGAGAGATTCTGGGAGAGATTTTGGCCGTCGACTAGAGTTGACAAAGAAGCTAGACTAGTTACACTATTAGCAGACTGGTCCACTATTGTACTAGTCCCGGAATCATTCTCAGGTCCGTAATCTACCGGTAAATGTTCTACACATGTGGTATATCTCTGAGCAGGTTCTACGTTCAACTCCCCACAATGACTAGTTTTCTGCGACATACTCCGAGTATTACAAATTCCATTATCTAACTTTATATTATTGTTTGAATTTACATTCATTTCTTTAGCACACTTATGACAAGTTTTACAGCTGTCAGAGACAACACTGTTTTTCACACTTTTATTATTTTCACTGTCACAATCAACACAAGGTATAACTGTTGCAGGAATGTCAAGACAATCAGGATCGATCGTGAAAGTTCCATCATGATTAGACTCCTCCTCCACTATCAAACTTCTGCGTGTATGTGACTTCACAAGAGACATAGATGATTTTGAATGAGAAGAGGAAAATTTCTTACACTTTGTCATTGTGTCGTTAATTTTGTTAAACCTGGATTTAGGCATAACGTCTAGTTCTAAACTTTCATCTGTATCAAAGTCCACACTTGAACCAACACTGGCGGACCTTCGATGCAAGTTCCTTTTTCTATCATTTGGTTTTTTTGACACTGATGTATTAGTTTTATTTTCTCCAAGCAGATTTCGCGACACTTTTGAATTATTCTGACCAGTATTTTTGGTTAAGTTTTTCACACTATTATATGAGCTTGAAGATTCAGTAAATGATCGAGATTTTGATGGAGTAAATCTAGATTTAGTTGGTGTTAAGCCTGTCTTGTAACTGCCCCTAGCTGACTGACCACCACCAGGTCTGTATACTCTGCTTGTAGACTGTTGGGGTTGTGAGGCTGGCAACATTACACGCTTTGCTTTGGGTGGTGAACATTCATCAACCACTGTAAATAAATGATAAATAATTCTGTAATATTTGTCTATAATCAATGTCATAAACACCATTCAACAAACTCCATTATAGTGATAAAACTATATATGTAATAATCAGTAAAGTTGACTATCTAGCGTCAACAATAATTAATTACCTAAATTGGTTAAGTCATTGTCTAGATAGAAAAATCATCAAACATACACATTGTGAGACACTTCAGTAGAGAATAATTAGGTAAAATGTCCATTATACAAAGCAGCTTACACATAGCAATAAATACATTATTCTTAATTTGAAAATGGTTCCCTTTCTTTTTTTATTCAGGACACAGATTAAAGATATTAATTTTGAGTATGTTGTGGTAAAATAATGCACAGTTCAAGTTATATAATCACAAAGGCCAGTACCAAGGGCATTTGAAGGATAATTCAAGTATTATTGTAATATAGTGCAAGAAAAATATATATAATATCTATTGACATTCTAATATACATGCGCTTATAAAAAGGTAATTCATAAAAATTACATGTATGTTGAACTACATTAAGCAGAAAAGAAATTTTCAAGACATTGATATCATAAATAATGATGCAAATATGATATACAAAATATTATAACATGAATGTTGACACCTCCTAATATATTAGTGTAAGCCATTAGGTGTGATGCCAATAAAACAAATGAAGTCAGGTAAATTACTTTTAAAACAAATTTCAATATCTAAATCAAATGGGAAACAAGTATATCTTAATCTTGCATCATCAAGCAATATAATTATATTGCATGTTTGTTTAGTTTAAACATATTTATAAACTTAAATTAATCACTTTTGAGTCTGCTTCCTGGAACTAACCAGTACTGGTATGAGGAAACAGTGTTGTAACCCAATTAGGGTTCAAACACATGATCCATGGGTAGAGAGGAAGACACCTTAACCAGTTGGCCACCACTCATCTTTATTTCATCATTCAGATGTACTCAGGCATACAACCTAAGTGATAATCTGACACAAACTTTTTTCTTGGTATTTAACCATATTATAATATAAATGTTTCTTTTTAAATTAAAAAATATTATTACAAAAACATGTAACATAAGATGTTTAACCTTTAAATGGATAATTAGCAGGAATTTGGTTGTCCCTTGGTTCATGTTGGGTTGCAGTGAATTCAAATACAGCTCCTGATTTCGTAGCCTCTGAACATCTTTCCTTCCTTTCTTTGATACATTCTGTAAAATGAAAACTAAATTTATTAGCTTTAAGCTAACATGCCTTAAGGTTATTGTCTTATTTTTTTCTGTTGCATTAAGTGCTAAAGGACTAAATTAAACAAGAATATAAGTAACACTGAAAGATTCTCCTGATGTTGATACATACAGCCAAAAACATATGCTTGAATATCAGACAAATCTATTTTTAGATTCAGTGACCATGACACTAGAGACCATCACACTTTTCAAAGTGCAGATGTCCATGTGTAGTAACAACATATCAAATATCTAAGATCAAATATAGGAAACTCTATTGCTAGCCTTGTTGACTTTAACACACCAAACACAAGATCAAACCCAAATCTCATACAAATGTAAAGGTCAAACAAGATACTCTCATACCAAATATCTTAAATATGCTTTAATAAACTACAGTCATCTAGGAGGTAAGTTAGTATTAGTGTTGTTCAGACCTTTTCTTTTCAACACACATCTTTTATTCTTTTCACATCAGATGTGATGAACAAAACATTTATTAATAATAAACTTCAACTGAATCACACCAATATAATCTAAGCCCAGTAGAACTTATGTAAGTCAAAGTTGAAGGGACTTGCACATCTAGATTTCAATTCATGAATCAATCTTAATTTTATGACAACATTTCAGCCATCCACATTGACAAGTGAATTACAAAAGGCGTACTAAAAGGATAGAGCGAAAACTTTACCAGCTTATAGTAAATATATCCCATGTAATTATCAAGCGACATCAAGTCTTGGAAGTTCTCAAATGAAACTTTTTCGGACTGATTATTATCAAATACATCTACAGGGATTAGAATAATAACAATAAGAACAGATTCTCCCACATCTGAATGTATACCTTGCTGACTAGGATCAGGTTTAAGTTGCAGAGATGGAAGGTCCAGCATATCTGTCAGTGTGTAGCCACAGGTGTATATAGAACCGCTCTCCTCGTCTCCCCAGCACAACTCCTGACCGGCAACTCTCTTCTGTATACTGGCATAGTCCTCTGAGAGGTCAGAGGTCAAAATGTTGTGACCTTTCATTATGTAATGCTGCTTCTTCAACAGTTTTAACATTAAGTGAACCAATCTGTAATCAAACCAAATATATTTACAAAATATATACAATTAATGTATTAAACTTTTATGAACAAAAATAAAAGGAAATGTTTGAATTTCTGCAATTAAGCCAAGCAAAGCCTTAGAAAGAATTATTTTAGTCTTCTGCAAGTACAGTCCAACATCTGCAAAAAAATACTGCTTAACAACAAAAGTATTAATTCTTCTGAAAGTAGGACTACACAATAAATATGACCTCTCTAGAGCTGTCTCTCAGCAACAACCAAAACCATTGTCACCCATAGGATGTTACTGTACAGAGGTTGTACTGTACACTGAATTGGCCTTAAATCTCATATATATTCTTTTTTATCTCCTTCCTTTAACAGTGTATGCCATAATCAAGTCATATAGGTTGTACTGCATCTTCTCATGTATCATACTTGGAAATTGCTGTTTTCATTTTCATAATACATTATTACAGGCATGAATCAGCAACTTTCATGAACTAAACTTCCTGATATTTACACTGTATGAAAGTTGTAGGAAATCAAACCAGCAGTAGTAAAAGTGGTAAAAAGTGTGAACAAATCAGTCTGCAGGAATCTAAAGTGAAAAGCCCTTGCCAGCCTGCACAACCATGCAGTATTACCAGACTCAATACTGTTGGCAGACTAACTTAAAATTTTCATCTTAATTTCAGCAACATCAATAATGGACAGACCGAAAAATGGACAAGTCAATTTAAGAAATTCAGCAGGTAGTATTCAATGGTTAAATGATATAAGTAGATAAATACATGATAAGAGTGGACAAACCTTTCATTGTGTAGTAACTCTTTCTCCTGACATCTAACAACTTGTTTAGTATAACTAAGATACTGTTTGGTATCAAGGAGTTCAGACTTTACACCATGTAACTGTAGACTCAATGACAATACCTGCAACAATTTAATAAATGTACACCATAATTTTTTTTTGATTTGGCCTAGATAATATATCACATTCATTATCTTATTTATCAACTTATTCATATTGTAGTATTTATACCAAGACACCTGGAGCAGCTTTTTTTAAGGGGGTTTACGTTGCACCAACACAGAAGAGGTCATATGGTGACTTTCCAGCTTTACTGGTGAAGGAATACCTCAGGTGCCCCTAAGTGTACAGGTCCATATGGATTATTTATAAACAAAGCATAATTTAATATATCTTAAATAAATGAAGACAACAAGAGAAGCATGATAAAAGGAAAAGAAAACCAAAGTGACCATCATTCTACTCCCCTCAATTTTCTGAAAGCCTAATAAACCATACCTCAGGAAGCTGGTTATCTTGTAACCCACATGAATCTTTGATATCCTGCTCCAGATCACCCAGCTGCTTGTAACCTTCCAGTAACTTGCTCCTGGATGACTCGGATGAGATTTTCATGCAAGATGTCTTCTGCTTCATACCATTTAGCATTGTTTCTACTTTCCTCAATGACTGCAAAAAATAATTTATAAATAAACAATTATTTCGTAAATTGTCAAAAAATTAGCTCAGGTAAAAGCAGACTGTTGGGATATTTGTATAATGCAGACGAAAAATCCATATTTTGAATGCGATTCATAAACGTCCTGCTGTTAGTTTAATGTTTTCAAGTGCTTTATATTTTACAAAGAACAAATTAAATTGAACTGGATACATTGAAAAATTCTGCCCAGATTTTATATCAGCAAATAAGAAGTTGAGTATAGTCAACATGGGATGCTTCTTTTGACTTAACTCTTAATAGGGAGAACTGATAAGACAATGTTTTATTTCAAAATTGCCAGAAAAAATGCAAATGATATATAAATAATAATGCTAGTTATGCAGACTAACCTCAATGTTACACGGCTCATCTACTGTGTTAAGACGTGACAGACATCGTTGTTTCCTGTACATCTTCCACTGTAGGTTTCTTAAGGCTATTTCTTGTTGTAGCTGATCAGCATGTAGTGATTGATGACCAACAAAAAACTTTTCTATCTCATTTTGATAACTGTAATGATACATAGAAAACATTCAATATAACATATCAGACGGAGCATGTTTACATCTTTATTCTAGAGACAGAAAAAATTCATACACAACCTTCTGTTTCAGTTCCACACAAAATTTGGTTTAGGTGCAAAACAGCATTTCAATTTGGTCTAGTAAATCTCAGAGTTCCTACTCTATGATATCTTGAAAACTATATGACTTTTGCAGGACATTAGGACCTTTTCACAGTATCATAATTATTTGATGTTCTTGTATTCATTCCTCTTTGCATATTTATATGTCCATTTTTAGTTAAAAAATATAATGACCTCATTCAACATAACACAGGTAATCGTTAAGTCTTGATGAACATTCTGACCTATTTACATTCTGAACTATGAAATAAGTGCAATTTCAATGACAGCCATTTTGATTTCTAGATTTACCATCCTTATCGGGACTGACTATTTCCCAAACTGTCCTGTTCATCTTACAATATCAAGGCAAATTCCCAGTACTTCAAACCCCACATGCCCTCTTATCAAATTCACAAACTTTTCCTGTTTTCCAAGATAGTAAGGAAGACCTTGATGCAAGAACAAATTTTAAAATTGTACAAGGTTACTCTTGCCCTTAGGCCTTTTAATCAGCCTATTAAAGGTAATTATAAATCAAGTTTAATGCTTCACTTAACCCTTACAACACCAAATAACTTAAATAGATTTGTCCATCTTTCAATTTTGACAAAACCATTCATCTTTTTAGGGAAAAGTTTAAAATATGTGCTAAATGAATAGCAAACAGCACATATCATGATCAGATGGTTCAGATCTTGGTCTGCACTGCTGCCATAGGTGCAATCAATTGCAGACAGCAGGATAAAATAATTCAACAACTAGAAATGTGTCCATAGGACACGGGTGCCCCCACCGTGCCACTGTTCTGTCAATCTTTTTACTAAGTCAAGGGAAATTACTCTACAAATACTGGATAAATCCACAAGCAAAACCCCAGGTGCAAATCTAAAATATGCTGAGCAACCTGCCTATAGGTTAAATGACTATGTCAAATCCTTTTTGAGAAACTTGCGACACAAGTTGAAAATTGCAAAAAATTTCTAAGTGAAGGGCAATAACTCTAAAAATACTAAATAAATCCAGACGAAAATACCTGGTGCACAACTGCACATGCTAATCAATATTCCTGTAAAGTAACATGACTCTAGGTCAAATACTTTTTGAGTTACCTGCGACACATGTTGAAAATTGCAAAATTTTACTAAGTCAAGGGCAATTACTCTGAAAATAATGAAAATTTCCAAACGAAAATACCCAGGTGCACAACTACACATGCTGATCAACATTCCTGTAAAGTTTAATGACTCTAGGTCAAATACTTTTTGAGTTACATGCGACACAAGTTGAAAATTGCAAAATTTTACTAAGTCAAGGGCAATAACTCTGAAAATACTTAAAATATCCAAACGAAAATACCCAGGTGCACAACTACACATGCTGATCAACATTCCTGTAAAGTTTCATGACTCTAAGTCAAAAATTTATTGAGTTACATGCGACACAAGTTGAAAATTGCAAAATTTTACTAAGTCAAGGGCAATAACTCTGAAAATACTAAAAATATCCAGACGAAAATACCCAGGTGCACAACTACATATGCTGATCAACATTCCTGTAAAGTTTCATGACTCTAGGTCAAATACTTTTTGAGTTACATGCGACACAAGTTGAAAATTGCAAAATTTTACTAAGTCAAGGGCAATAACTCTAAAAATACTAAAAATATCCAGACGAAAATACCCAGGTGCACAACTACACATGCTGATCAACATTCCTGTAAAGTTTCATGACTCTAGGTCAAATACTTTTTGAGTTACGTGCGACACAAAAGTGAACGGACGGACGGAAGGACGGACGGAAGGACGGACGGACAAGGGTAAATCTAAATGCCCGCCACTAACGTGGGGGCACAAAAATTGTGTAACTTACCCAATGAATGAAGACATGTCTGCCTGTACAACCACCTCTCCCGGTACCATTCTGTTGTCTTCATAACTTTTTAGCTTTCCCTTTAACTCTTTAATCTGACAGAACAAATAAACAATTCAATTATTTATCATAAATATTTTTTTTAAATGTCTTGCAAATGATTAATAATTATTTAATTCAAGTAATGAATTGAAACTTATATTCTGAATGAAAAACAATACATTTTATTTCCCAATAGTTTTACAAAAGTCCCTATTGAAACAGTTGTGCCAAAAGTGGTTATTGTTGAAAAACGTGTAGGCTATTTTATCTACAAAAGTATGATCTAGGCAACTACCAACACAATTCCCAATTTTGATGTAAGCCTATGGTATTATATTTGACTTTATTAATGCACATCTGAACCAAAATGTATTATTATAGGAGTTGGCAGTCCATTCAAAGTTAACATCCATTGCCTAACTAGACAATAGATTGGTCTCACAATCATTAAATCTTTCACAGTAGACCATATTTACCTCTTTTCGTAGCTCTTCAACAATCTTGCCATATTTGGCCATATGAATATCCACATTTATTACATTCTTTTTCAACTGAAAAATTAAAATAAAGCTTTAAAATACAAAATACCAACATTACAACTGGGAAATATTTTTACTAAATTTATATTGGTATTAAACTTATATATCAAATATATGACAACTTATAAATTACATGAACCCCTGGTGTATCATTTCAGACAAGAGATCAGATACATGGGTAGAACCAATGGCTATTTTAGCTACTTACATGTATGTCAGCCCATATAGCTTAATAGGGAGAGCATCAGACAATTAATCAAGGGGTTGTTAGTTTGATCCTTGGAAGAGACTTTATTTTCTGTTACAAATGATCCTGGACAAAGAGTTTAATGGTCGTTTTTCTCTCACCATTGATTCACAAATCATGTTGGATAAGTATTAAGTCACTTGGGGAAAAATAGACATTACAGGTATGTTATCGCAAGAAGTCAGTTAAGTTGTCTGACCACTGAGATATAACAAATTTACATATGTGAAAACTGGGGTAAAAAAAAACAACAGGAAAACAAACATACATCAGCTAGCTTGAAAGTTGCCTCACATGACAGAATACTCAATCAATGGCTAAAGCATGATTCAAATTCAAAACAACAGGCACCATTCTTATTAATGCAGTATTTCAGGCATAAGCCGAGACACTGATAGACTGCCAAATGGATCATCAAATTATCATATGTTTTATTATATATAATAGATCAAATTATATAGAGGCATAGACCTCCGATCTTAAAGTACCAAAATTTAAACCATTAACAACAAATGATATGATGAACAAAACTTTACGCAAGTATTTTATGAAAATGATATACTTACTGTAGCTTTGATATGCTTGGCCCTGTCAGCATATCTTAATGTGTTATAGGTATCTTCATACGACATGGCAGATGGGCTGTAATACAAATTATGACCTAATTACCTCAAACTATTCATGTAATACATTAAGTCATTCTAATGGAACAATACAAACTTCATAATTCTTATAGTGATTTATCCATTTTTGGAAGGGTCTACTAAATGTTCTGTTTCTCATTGAAGAAAAATGCTATATCATACATTTTATGAGTCATTAAGTTTTTGTTGACCTTGTATATCAATTTAATCTGACTTAAAAGGTCAGTGTTACATTTTTCATTAAGTCAGTTACACAAAATTTAACTGGTTTGAAAGAAATTAATTTTTTTTTTAAATTGTACAATATACATTTAATGATTTCATTTAATTAAGTAAGCTGTATTATCACTTGTTAATGTAATATATATTTCTATATCAGGACATCAACTTATATTTAATTCTTGGCCAGCTGGTTGCCACAGATTCTACCCATTCGATCAGCGCAGACTAAAATCAGCCAGTACAATACATGCTTACTACACATCCATGTTGAATGATCATGGTCTGCACTGTTCTTTATTCATTAAGTACATATGAGCCGCGTCACGACAAAACCAACATAATGGGTTTGCGACCAGCATGGATCCAGACCAGCCTGCGCATCCGCGCAGTCTGATCAGGGTCCATGCTGTTCGCTATCAGTTTCTCTACTTGTTATAGGGTTTGTAAGCGAACAGCATGGATCCTGATCAGACTGCGCGGATGCGCAGGCTGGTCTGGATCCATGCTGGTCGCAAACCCATTATGTTGGTTTTGTCATGACACGGCTCATATTTTGAAATCTATCAAATCAATGGTGAATGATTTTGTTGAAATTTCCTACATATAAAAGTACAGTAAGGGTTTAAAGTCATACAGTCAAGAAAATTACATTCCTATGGCACACAGACCGTATGTTGACAATAACATGATTGTAGAAAATAAACATCTACCTGACAGCAGCTATCATTACTGTCTGACAGTTACCACCAAGAGAATCCTTCAGTAACCTCGTCAGCTTGCTGTCTCTATATGGTACATAACCTTTAGCCTGAATTAACAACACTCATTAAAATAATATAGTCAAATCATCACAATACATCATCACAGTTATAAACATATTTGATCTGTGGATGCGCAGGCTGGTCTGGATGCGCAGGCTAGTCTGGATGCGCAGGCTGGTCTGGATGCGCAGGCTAGTCTGGATGCGCAGGCTGGTCTGGATGCGCAGGCTGGTCTGGATCCATGCTGGTCGCAAACGTATTATGTTGGTTTTGTCATGACGCGGCTCATGTATGATAAAAGAAATTAAATTTTCACATGTTAAAAATCAACATGTGCATTCAACACCTATTGGGAGAGAAGATCTAGGTTAATGATAAGGTGTTGCTCTAGACATGTATTGTGAAGTCTTACTTACGGAAGAATTGATACGGTTGGAGTAGAGGTTTTTGCTGTAAAGGGGGCTCAAATAATATTCAAATATTAAAAGTTTACTTTATTTTTATAAGCTTTACAGCCAACCTTAGTTTTATTGACTAAAAAAATAACTTGATAATGTTTTAATTTTGTCTAATATTTGGGGGAATATATACCTTATTTTCTGCCAATGCATTAATGACATTTCCCAGAGCTAGCAGAGATCTGTTGATATTAGCACCCTCTCTGAACCTCGAACCCCTGTTCTTTGTAACAGTTGCTCTCTCTGACCCAGCCAGATCTACAAGACAGAGTTTCGCAATACGAACCTCTGTGGAGATATTGGCTGTACGATCCTGCTGTCTTACAAACACCTATGAATATCAGTTAATATAGCAAGATTTACTTTTTATCTGTGTACATCAATAACAACCTAGCATTCTATGCTTATGTATATACTTAACATTTGAATTAAGAACGACACGGCATCAAATTTCAGTATTCAGATTTTTTTCAAACGAACTAAATGATCCTGACATTTAAACAATTTTATAAACACTTAAAATAAATTCCTCATAACTCCATTCAGATCACCAGATTCGTTCTAAAGTATAACTTACTAGAGACATACTTCTTTATTTGTTGATGATTGGTTGAATGAAAGTATGGATTGCACACAAGACTTGGGACTCACAAATCAAATCATGTAAAAAAAACTAAATTTAAATTTAGTTTTCCGGATAGGTATGGTTATAATAATGAAACAATTCTCATCATATACTTCAAAGTGGGTGATAAGTTAATCTATAGATGTATAAGAGTATTCAGGGAAACTGATGTTATATTTTACCTGTAATACAGCATGTGACCTAGAAGACTCAGCATTGGCATCTGTGGGGTGTTGTGTCCGGTGCTGGTTCCCAAACTGTAACATGTACAGTAACTCCTCCGCTGTCTTTGGCTAGGTAAAATATAAACAAGCAGTGATAGAGATCATTCCTTGCATATCTTTCAGTACAGTTTTAGGAAAGTGGCCAATATTTTTGAAGTAGGGCTATGAATGTTGCTTTTTTCTGTAACAATACTATCTCCACCACATTTGTTCTTTCAAATGATTCAATTCATGATACATATTTTTAAGTCATATGAATTGCAATATAATATGTATCACAATACTGACTTTCAAACTTGAAACTTACAGGTGTTTATCTAAAACCTTTTTTAACCATTCACAGCGTTATTTTTATGCCAAGAAAAAAGCACAAACACCAGGTATCAAATAAACTATCATAAAAACATTTTGAATTCAAAATTCTGTCATGTTTTCAATAATTTTTCATGTTATAAATGACAAATGATCCAATAATTCCATTATTTTCATCTAAAAAGTTAATTATGTCTTCAAATGCAAACATCATAATTGTTACATCTCTATTTTGAAGATTAGCTTATTTCAAACTGTGCACGCTTCTCCTACAATAAATAATAAGGAAAAATATATGAGAGTTTGAGAAATATTTACTATAAAAAATATATGCACCATTCTGCATGTTTCATTCAGGATATTTGCTGCATTTATTACCCTTTTCTCCCTTTCAATATTGTGTAATGTGGGGTTTAGTAATGCATAATTTGACATATTTGGCAGAATGGTAAAGCCAGGAACTGTTTAACTGATTCAAATGTTCATTGATAAACAAATTACAGTCGAGACTGCCTAAGCGACCCCCTGATTTAAACGACTCCCTGTCTTATCAGACCTTGTTTCAGTACTCCCAACGTATTTTCCTATATAAATGGTCTGAATTAAACGACTCCCTGTCATATGTGACAAGCGACCCTAATTGTCTGGTCCCAATGCAATGTTTTGTCTGATTTAAACGACTTTTCACACCTTTTAATTGTCCGTTAATCAGGTAGATAATACCTATTATAACACCCAGAGGGCCAAAATAATTAAGTCCAATTATAATCTAGTACCTAACAAAGTCTACACACCTCTATCTCAATTACACATTATACATGCAGGTATCAAGTGTCTGTTCATGGGAAGCATGATGCAATCGATGTGTGTGTAATGTATATAAAGTGATCTGGGTTAAGACTTGTGTTAGATTTTTTTTTAATTATAGAGTGCCCATGGAAGATTTTTTAGGCAGCATTTTTTTAATTTACCTTTCTATGGCTGCATAATTAATACGAAAAAATATTGATACGAAACCAGATAAAGCTTTGGATATGGATATTTAACACAATTTTTTCATGGCTTTATTTCATAAATATGATGCTCAAATTAAGACTTGTCAATATTGTAAGTTCAAATAAGCATGATTTATAAAGATATCACCCAGTTTAACATTTCATGTAAATAAAGGCCATTAAAGGGAGGTAATTAGAACTTTATTTTCTATAAATTCTAAGTCAAATTTTCCAATAAGAAATCAATGCATGTAATTTATTGATTAAATTTAATGTGCACAAATATTTTCAGTACACATTTTACATATTCTTTGATGTTGGAAAATTGTTTTATTTGCATAATTATATCCATATATATATTTTTTGCAAGTGTCATATACACACAGAAACAATATCTATCACAAAACATACAGGATCTTTTTTTAAGTCACAATGGAATATAGACAGATAGATGATATTTAAATTTAATTTTCTTTGAGACTGTATTAAGAGACTCCCTGTCATATGTGACCTTTTTCTGATGATCCCTTGGAAAGTCACATATGACAGTCTCGACTGTACATAATTTTTAGTTTACCTTGTGTAGGGACAGACCCGGTACAACAACACCTTTCCCAGGATCCTCTCTGATTGGTAGCACTGACCCTTTCATCAGTAGATCTCGGATTGTCTCATTATAAATCTATAATGGAAATTTTATACAAAACATGTTACACTATGTGTGCTCTGATAACCAAAGTGTTTCAATTTAATCTGCTTTAGTCATTCATTTGTTCTAAATATAGGAATGGCCATCAAAAAACACTACACAGGATACACTAGGTCACTTTTGCAAAACAGGTGATCTTGAAATTCATGTTAATCCTAAAATTTAGAACATGTTATTTATATATAGTGAAACAATTAACCACTTACCAAGTTAACATACATGAACATACATGAAACCAGTCAGAAAATTTAAAAACACATATTTATCATTCATATAAAAACTATTCAGACACTTAATCTGTACCATTGTAAATATTTGAAACCGACCAATCCATCCATATGGACAAAACCACTGATCATTTTTAATGAAAATGTCAAATATGTACTGACAGTCAGACTGAACAGCAAACAGTGTAGACTTTGATCAAATGGCAGGAATGTGCTGGTTGATCTTGGCCTGCACTGGATATATTCAGTTGCAGCCTGCAGACTAAGGGTTAAGTTAATATATTACCTCCAAATATGAGACCGCCACATCACAGGTTTTATTGTCCCTCATGTTTTCAATGCGCGAGTAAAGATCCATCATTGTATGGTACATAACGCCTGGGTGTTCTTTACTTCCCAACATTGTATGTGTTTTACCAGCCCCAGTAGCACCATAAGCAAACACTGAAGAAACAATTCTTATATAAAGTCATTGATATTTTATAAATAAAGCATATTTACTTTGATATTTGTGACCATTAAGTTTCAAATTAAACAAAAATTCTGCAAATTAATTCCATCTTTCTTTGACTTGTTTGCTATTCATAAAAATACATCTTTTATTAACCAAGAACCTGAAGAATCACTTGTAAATAGAATTATAAAATTCAATTTCTTACTAACAAATACTCATTATTACTTAAAGCTGGATTGACTGTAGTCACTTATCAAAACACTGGAGAATGTGGTTGTTATTATGTTGCATAAATGACAATTAAAAATAAGATATTACAAAATTTAAGTTCTGTATCTTATTATCTAAATTAATTAAGACTATCATTTCACTTCTGAAACAGAATGAGATATAAATTCAATAAAGTAAAGTCTTTAAGTCAGTGACTCACTGTACATATAAAAAGCACACCAAATAAGTTTAATAAATATATTTATTACACAAAATCCAGGCCAGACAATACAACTTATCAAAGTAAACACAGCTACAAACCTGAACAATTATATCCATTTAGCAGACCTGTTAACACTGTGTTTGTTGTCTCATTGTACACATCAATGTTTGTTGCACTTGCATCAAATACATGATCAAATGCAAACTTAAGGTCTTTATTTCTCCTTTGTCTTATATCCCTAGGTCTTCTCCTCCCTCCACCATATTCATATGAAGATGGTTCCTTGGGGTCAAAAACTAGCACATTTTCATCTACTGCCTGTACAACCTCTCTGAAGTTTCCCTCAGTCTCTTTAACATTAGGTGGACGAATTCTAACAACAACTTTGACATTGCTGCTAGGACCCGAGTCATCAACAACTAAATCAGCATCAGGCCCATGAGGTCGTTTACGTGTGGGTGGCAACGGCATCACTTAAAATAAAAATGTAAATATGTTATGAATATCATTTGTATTCAGGATATTTAAAATAATACACAGGGTTTTTATTTACATCAGACGGAATACTGTCCCAGCCTCGGTGGCATGAAATACCCAAATACTGCCCAAAAATAGCAATATTCATTTTTGTACGAATAAAATATAGATTATAATGAGAAAATGAATAAATATTAATAAAATAACATGACTAAGCTGGCTATAACTTTCATTCCGATGAAATGGGCAGTTGAGATTTTGTAAGAAAATAAACTTGTGAAATAACTTTGCTGATCTAGGTTCATCAATGAATATCTACTTGCAAGTTTTAGATAAACATATGATAATATTAATAGCCGACAATCTGAGATAAGCATCATATACGTCACTGATAAGAGACCTGTTCTAAAAATAGGCACATATCGTAAGTTTCGGACAAAGAATCTGGATTAATCTACATGTAGATTATAGAAGATAATGGTTACGAATACTTTTATTCACATTTCTCTCAATGAAAATGATGTTCCTGGAGTTAAACTTGCGTAAAGCATGATTGAGAAGCATTCTTATGTACAACTACAATGATGATTTAAAAGCATCTGGAAAATAAAGATGGTGTTTGGGGCATTATACTTTCCCTGCATGTCAATTTGAGAAAAATGCTGGCGCTTGGCAATTTGTTTTTGCAACATTAGAAATGGTGTCCGTGAGAAGATATTGTATGATTTTAAGAATTTGGGGCTAAAAATGAAATTGTATCTTTCTGTACCAGATATACCTTACGAATTTTGTTTCTATGTAAAATATGTAGATTGGAGATGTCATGAATCTATCCACCAAAGTGCTGCGATCATTAGATTAATGATAAATATCTTAATTCTTTGATAATTTTAGAATAAGCAAAACTCTGCATTTTTTCTATTTTTACCTAATAAAAAATGCCGATTCTAGTTTCGATTTGTTTTATCAGAAATAATGTATACGTACATGCATGCTTGCATGTATATTTAAATTGCATGTATATTTAAACTTAATTGACAACTGAGGTCCATGATTTAACATACGTGTGTACACTGTTTACGTACAAACAATAAAATATAAGTAATTTGTATTTTTATTTCCCTTGAATATCATATGTCTCACACAAAATATTTGTTGTTAAAATCATCGACAATACTGGTGCATTTTTTAAACTTTTTTTTTCATTAACAAGGTATAAAGATGTATATAGAGGCAGGATAGAGGCCAGAGCAGATCGTAACCTATGTTTAAATGTAACTTTAAAGTACGGTGTTCAGTTGTCCCTTTTCTTTTCACACTAAATTCCATTTCCAACTTGTTTGCTTTCTACAATTGTATAAAATTTCTTAAAATAGTGCATGTATATACAAAGTAAATATCCACTGATTAACATCATGTATAATGTGTACTCCCTAATCGCTTGTCCAAAAGTCAGTACAGGTGATGGAGTGGTGGTTAGGTAAAATCTATTTTTAAAACAGCGTTACCTTCAGATCGAAGCCTATAATTTGTTGTCTTCATTAAAATTTTAAGGGTTTATTTTTGTTGTAATTTCATAAAAGTGTCCAATGTTTCTTATTTTTTTGTTTGTAATTTAATAGCTTTAATGGTCCTTATAGAATCTATTTGGGTATATTTCTGTTTAAAACACAATGATAGGAGAACGTACAGGGTTTTTTTTTGGCCGATTTTATAGCCGTTATTCGGTCATATTCCCAATTGAAAATAGTATGTTTTTTCCCAATTTTGATACAAAAATTCCCAATCGAAAACTTAAAAAAAATTAATTTAAAAATCGTTCTTTGGGGGAACGTAAAATTAAGCAAATAGCCGGCGTCTAAACAACCCACGTGTTAAGTAGACGCTTGATTTCTTAGTATAAGTTTATCGAGCGTCTTACGATACCGACGACCTTCGAAAGTGAAAGAAAATCAAAATCTTTCACACGTTAAAAAAGCACTGATAAAAACAGAAAAAATGATTTAATGTTTACGCAAGCGACTCTCTCGGAAAAGAGTTGTACATCTGAAACGGTAACGGCGAATGAAACTGCAAGTACTAATGGGAAATCCTTCAACGGTGACTGTGAGTTACCACAATCATATTCCTTCTCGGGGTTTTAAAAGTTCTAGCAACGAGTTTAAATCAAATACAGTTGTCCCTGTCAATGATCAAATGTTATTAAGTTCCAACAAATACGAGTTGAATTATGCATTGTTGTTTTATAGTGGTGCAAAAGTTTGGTATTGTTGCAAATTGTGCGAGTTTTTTTCAGCTACAGATGACAGATAACTCATTATCATATAAATTTGCATGATAGACATTGAGAGAATATTTGTTTTTTGAAATTTATAATTAAGAAATTTTATTTAAAAATGACATTTTTGTTCAAATAAAATTTACCAAATATGTATCAATGTATGAAAAACAGATAAAAAACAAAATGATAAGATTTACTAAATTTTATTCAGAGTCAATTACTATATCTACCATGTATGCACAATACAATAACATAACATTTAAAATAAACACTGTTATTTTCATCATATAATTTTTATTTCCTATTTTATAAAAACTTATAAAGAACTATTAGTTACACACTTCTAATTTAGTAATTAATAAACCTGTGTTTATAATGCTTTATTCAAAATTGTTTCACACTTCTAATTGTTCTTATCTGTTATATAAAATCATATTTTATTTAATCAATATTTTTATGGTATTTAATTTTTGGATAACAAAAAAAAAATGAAATAATATATACATGTAGACTTATAGCTGATAATTCTTTCAGAACTCATATTTATAATTATTTTCCCAGGGAAATTTCACTATATTTATGTCAAAAAAATTTTCTTCATGAATGTAATTGTTTTGCAAGTATGTTGTTATATTATATATAATATTAACCCATAATGGTATTTATTTCATATATTTATCAAATTGAAAAAAAGTGTTGATGAAAACACCAGGTTTTGAGGGTGAAACATCCAGGAGGTGTAAAGTCAAAACACCATACAATAACACAGTTCAAAAATTTTGAAAAATCAGAGACCTACTTTTGTGAACTAAATCCTATAATATTAGAAAAGGAATATATTGCCTCAGGAAACTTGAAAATGTTGTGTTTTTTCCCAATTTTTGGGCAAAATGCCGCTAAAATTCCCAATCTCAAGGGTATGGGTCATGTTCCCAAAAATACTGAAAAAAACCCTGACGTACATTTGGTATGTTTATTTAGTGAAAGCATAAATATATGTATCCATAAATAAAACAGCATTTTTAATATAAAATATTTATTTTTGTAAAGCATGTGATAATTTAGTGCCTCCCCGTTCTCAAAGGTTGAGGGCCACTTATTTTTTAAAATTTACAGCTTATATAAAGCAATTTTGAAAAAAAACATTGTTTTCAGTGAAAGCATTTGATACCAGTAACATTTATTGAAGTTGAACTGTTCTCTTTGACAAATACAGTATAGCAGGAGCTTACAAGCAATCTCGACTCAAACAGTGTTAAATCACAGGAAATTGACATTCTAATCAGCAAATAATTAAAATATAACAGCAAATGTACCCCTCTACACTATAAAAAAACACAAGGAATGCAACGCCTTTTGCACACTCGATACACATTTTAAAAGAAAAAGGAATGTATTTGTGTATCGAAATTACTAAACTAGTTTGTTGAAATTGATTTTCCACGTGTGTAAATAGATAAAAATGTGTATCCAGTGTGTGCAAAAGGCGTTGCCATTCCTTGTGTTCATTTATAGTATAGAGGGGTACATTTGCCGTTATATTTTAATTATTTGCTTATAAAATGTTCAACAGGTCAATTTCCTGTGGTTAAATGCTCAGAAGAAAAAAAGTAAACAGTTAACTTAAAACAAAATAGTAATCAGAAATGAATCAACCGGTATTATTCGCCTGAACAGGTCGAATACACAGTTTTGTTATTATTCTTTTCAAATGTTTGACAGAAAATATCAATGTCATCTTCATGAAATTGTTGAAGTGTAATGAGTTTTCGCGATATATATTCAAAAACGAATTTTAAGTGAAAGAAATTAAATACTTCTTCCATATACAGATTGAATAACATGGTACAATATATTAACTCAGATGCTAAGTAGTCTACATAGGTAAAATATATAGCATACCGGCTGAATAATATTGTTATTTTTTTTCTCATAGATCTATCTTGTTGTTTTCAAAATACCCACGCGAAATGAAACAGCGCTTTTCATTGGCTAGAATTCTGAATAAGTTATGTGTACTGAGCGACACTATCAAATGTTCTGCGTACACAAAACTTTTGATACCCTGTACCAATCAGGACAATACATTACTTTCTTTCTGATTTCTATTTTGAAAATTTAAAATTGATGTTCAATTCCTTCAGTAAAGAAATAAAGATGCTCTCATTGAAGGCAAAATAATTCAGTCGGTACACACTACAAATAATGAACAAAGGATATAAGTATAAGGTGTGTTTATTTTATAAAAATCAGTTCTGACTTTTCTTTAGTGTGTATAAGCAAAATATTGGACATAACATTAGGTAAATATCAAAGGGCCTTTGAGGTTTTATTACATGTAACTTGTGTGCAAACTTTCAGATCTTTTCCTAACTCCGTTAAATCTCAGAATATGTTTTATTGTGAAAAGTCACGGACTTTAATTTAAAAGTCCGTGGCAAAATGAACAAGGCTAAAAAACGTGAAAATCGATTTTTCAATAAAAATTTAAGTCTTTTTTTCTTTATTTCCTTTTGCTGTTTTTTCCAACTTAAGTGCATCACTTTAATCATCTATGCAAGAATTTCATTTTTGTATTTTCTGATCGCAGATCAGGATATACAATGCTGATCGACATTCAGTCTCTGGACAGACCTAACAACAAGTAGTTCTGAAAATAGCTTAAAACTAGCGATATAAAAAAGAAATATTTTTATTTTGATACAAGTATCCAACAAATTACAAGGCATTCAAACTTTAAAAGTAGCGTTGGCTTATAGAATTGTCAATTAATGCACAATCACAAATTACGCGGGTGAATATTATTTTAATTAATGAAAATGCTATTTTTAGCGATGTCGATAGAACCTGGAACATACGATACGTTATAGTACATCCCAGATAGAACGTAGTGCACAAATAAATCTGAAATGTATACAGGTCGGACTGTTTTGACGAGAAGATTTTCGCTAAATTATTAACAATAGTGTTAAACAACAGAATCATCGTGAACAAAATACATCGAAATTAATAAGGATTACAAACCCGAAATGGAAATTCTAAATTTAGAATTATTTGATTTAATACAGGCTATTCTTATAACTTCCCGGGGTGCAGGGGTAACGCGCTCATTTAGGGTGTGAGAGGTCTAGAGTTCAAATCCCGGTAGCGGCAACTTTTTTATTTTATTTTTAAGTGTCTTTTTTAAAGAAGTAGACACGAAATGCAAGGATAAAGTGTAGCTGTCATAAAAAAATTGAACATAAATGATTTTTGATGCAACTCTAGTCATGCAAAATACCGTGTGTATCAAACTGAAACTGTTATAGTAAAACAATCTAAACGCAGTCGCTTCATCTGTGTGCCCTATAAGATGAATTATAGTATATAAAAATAAACTTATACAGGAAAATACATACATATATACAGTACGAATTAGATTGCAAAGATCAGAAAATACCACAGAGCTTGCAGCCCTTAAATTTTGTTTTAAGTTGTTGTTGTTTTGTTTTTTTACCTCAGTACGAGTAGTTCCTTTGACGATACTTTATTAAACCCTTGGTTTATAATTTTGAAATTAATCCCTTGTAAAGCAAGAACACAAACAGACGATTGTCAACATTTTTATTAAAATATGAGCCGCGTCACGACAAACAAACATAGTGCGTTTGCGATCAGCAAGGATCCAGATCAGCCTGCGCATCCGCGCAGTCTGATCAGAATCCATGCTGTTCGCTTACTAACTCTATTACAAGTTGAGAAACTGACAGCGAACAGCATGGATCCTGCGCTGGTCTGGATCCATGCTGGTCGCAAACGCACTATGTTGGTTTTGTCGTGACGCGGCTCATATATATTTTGGATAATATTTGACATTGATTAAACCTGTTATACGTGATTGGGACGAAAGATATGCATCGCCTACGAAAACAGCTAGATCATTTTAAGTCTCAATCTTTTTATGTCCCAGTACGTAATAACTGACATACTTTCAAATTGTTTTTGCCTTATAGACCCTTTCATTTAAGCGATAACAGTCAGGGAAGAGTTACTTCCCTTACCGGATGTGACGTAAATGGGGGATAAAACTATGCAGGCCGCATAGAATATTAGCTTATTGAGAAGTTAAATGCGTAAATACTGATCGTTCAGTTATGATTATAACATGTAAAAATTTACGCATGCATACTAGTGATGGAAATCGGATGAAATTTGTCCCAATCGATTATCGGTTCAGTCGGATGGGACATAATCGATAACTTTCGAATAAAGTCGCGTTAAAAAGAAATAGGGAGGTAACATTTCTTACCAAGGCACTTGATTATATTAAGCAACATGAACTTCATTTAGCACTTTTCAACACAGTTTTAACCTTAAATAGTCATAATTTTACGAAATAGATTTTATATTTCAATGGATGTTAAATAATAACATTAACATAACATTACATCACTATTGTTTACATCACTTATTGATCCTGTTCAACTCCAAATTGTCTCTAAGTGTTTTTTGCGATCGGCAAGGTGTTCCTAAAAGAAAATTACCGTCAGAATTAATTCCCTTTAATACTTTAAACGTTTTCGACGACGTCGCGGAATTTTTGTTTGTGAATCGATTATTGTCGTTTTATATAACAGTAACTGATTATCGGCGACTTGCGACAATCGGAACATCACTAATGCATACATAAATTCAATATCAAGACAATAGGAAAAAAAAACACAAAAAAAACTGAGATTAATTCTCGCTACGGAGTGTAAAAGCGAAATTTTAAAGTGATTTTAAAGGGAAAATATTTATTAGATCTAGATTTTCTCTAATGCCAGGATAAAAAGCTAGTAACTTAGTCAAATTTTAATATTTTATAACCACCCATACATACTGAAATTGCCTGTTATAAATTTAAATGGTCATTTTCTAGTTTTCTGTGTTTTTTTTCTGGCATTTAGAAAATTCCGGCGTATTTGTGACAAACATGAAAAGAAGATTGCCTATGTCTTTTAATGATTGTTTTTCAAGCTTTAATATAACAATAGCAGGATGCATTCTGCCAATACTTACTGATTCTTTTTCAGTATAAAAAAATATTTCAAAGAACCAGTGAAGGATATAGTTTTATAAATATTCCGGAAAGAACGAATTCGAAAACCATGTGACAATGACTTTTATCATTTTAGATTCGCACCAGACGATAATAATATCATTTTGATATTAAAAATCTATTCTTATGATTATAAAAATAAAGACCTTTTCCCAGTTACTTATTTCATAGATAAATAGATGTGTAGAGGGATAAGCGCCACTCGGCCGTAACATATTAATTAACAGGGTGCATATGTTGTATATACAAGTGGCACTTGGCTGTGATATCATAAATCACCAGGGTGCATTTTTTAGAGTTATAACATTACATCAGATTATGTCACTTTTGTTAGTTGTCAAAATATTTATGGTCCGAATTTTGTTATGGATCATCCTAGGGACTTTATTGGTCATGCCTTACTGATTTGATACTCGATCCAGAGTCCTACCAATTTGCACAGTCAAAAATACGTAAACTTATAATTCAGTTAATAACGAATTTCTGTGAACGTGTTTCACAACTGTTTTTATAAAAAAAATATTTTGTGATTTTTTTTAAATATTTGATAAGCAGAGTATGAATTAAAAAGTATCATGTTGAAAATATATCTTTACCAGCTTAAATATATTGGTGTAGGCCTAATGTACGATTTTTTTAGAGTGCATCTTTTGCCGACACAAATAGTCTACAGTCATGTACATTCAAAAGAATTTTATTTTTTTTATACCTTTACGTTTTTTTTTGAAATTACATAGATTATATTATTGTTTTTTTTTTGTCTTAGTGATGCTTAAATCAAAATTATTTTAATAAACCAGTATCTTGCAATTAATTATTACGCAGCCGTTTTTCGAAAATACAGAATCCTTATATTTTTGAAACTCAAAATATCTTTTGGGTATTATATATTAGCACAGACATAGATACAATATCTATATCTCTGATATTAGCAAGTTAGTATAATTTCACTGCCTGGTAAAATTTTCATTATTAAAAATCTTACGAAAATGGTAATCATGATCAGTTACCCAGCAATATGGTCTACTATTAAAACAAACAGTTAACCTTATTATAGTAAACATTTTTATTCATTTCACCATCCTTTTTATGTAATATCTTATTCAATTACACAAAATTTTGGCAATTTCAATCTGCCAATTTTACAAGAGAAACGATTAGGATCTGTATATCCCTCTATTATTGTACTTAATCGTATCGGCATTATCCACCGTATCCCCCAATGACGTCATCCAAGGGCGACAACTTGAATACGGTCTTAAATGAAAGGGTCTTATTAAACCCATATATACATGCAGTAATGAGTAACGAGTCTCGACTCTGCTGGATGAGATCATTTTAAGTATAAAGACGAATATAAATAACATACATGTATCTCTCAATACCTACGAAAATTTTTTTCCTGTGATAAAAAAAAAATGATAATCATTTTGTATTTTAGCATCATTGAACCATACATCTGCGACGTTTTTCTCACAATCACAGCCTCCAGAAAGATTAGTCATCCCCATGAGGCATTCCAAGAAAGCCTTCAATGGAATGAGATGCTTTACTATTAAACTGCAGCATCAACAGCCTATATTCAAATAAAAAATAGGTCAATAGAACAAAATCCAAACAGTGCAGAACCTAAACACACACACACACACACGCACACACGCACACACACCAACACACACACGCACGCACGCGCACATACATTCACGCACCGCGCGCGCACACACACATATATTTTTCTTCTGCGTATGTTTTATGTAAATATTATGCACGAGTATCTCGTATGTCGAAAATGTAGTTGTTTCTTACAATACCTTTTAATGCTGGTATTTATTACTATCTCCAGGGCACGAAACAACAATAATAATAAAGAAAATAATGAAATGTCCCTAACTTGTGGCCACGAG